CCTCTGACCTGGGCTGCAGTCTGCTCATTCTTGCCTCGGTTCCCTCAGTCCCCAAAACTGAGTGCTGTGGGTGCTGGGGTGTGTTCCAGTCGCCCACCCCGGGCCGTGGCTGAACAAACCCGGCTCTCAGCGCCGCCGGCGCCTCACAGAGCGAGGCTTGTTTGCCCGAAGCGCCTGCCCTTGAATCTCCCACTGTCTGCTCCCTGCTCCCCCGGGAATAACAAGCGTGGCCAGGGCAGGCTGTCTTCTTTGTTGTCTTTTTTTTTTTTTTTTTTTTTTTTTTTTTTTTTTTGGTTTCTTTTTTTTTTTTCAAGGTGCCACCCAGTGCCAGCTGTGCTGGGCTGTGGGGTGGGGAGCGCTGGCTACACAGGCACTCCCTGCTCCTTGTGGCATTCAGCACCTTGCTGCCAAGTTTTGTGGGATTTTTTTTCCTTAAAATAAGAAAGTTTTGGGGGAATCCAAATTTTACTAGAAAGGACGTAGGGCTGACAGCCAGCTCTGAAAGAAGGAGGTGGCTGAAAAATGTTCTGCGGGGGAAAGTGCCCAACAAGTCTATTCTTTTTCTCCCTGAAAAATAAACACCAACACCAACAGCACTGTTTTACTGTCACGAGTGCTGCCTGTGCAACTAAGATCCCTCCTGCCTTATTCTGGTGGGTGAAGTAGCTTTGTAATGGTGACGCAGTCCCTAGAGTGCACGTCCAAGCCCCTGTCGGAATCTGGGATGCAGGGAGCTCTCCTCACTGTCTTCCTGAGGCAGCAAGAAGCTGGCTGTTTCTGTAAATTAATAGGAATCAAAGGAAAATGTGGTTTAGAGCAGAGCTAGGGCAGTTAGCTCCCTAGAGAAGCTCAGGACAGGAGGTGGGAGGGAGGGAGAGCTGGGCATCACTCCGATGCCAGTGGGAGGATAGTGATGGATAAAAGCACCCATACATCGCTTGCCCTGCTGACCACTGCACGTCTCGTTGTGTAGAGTACTCCATCCCCGTCCACAAATACTACTTCCCCTTCATCTTCCTCCTGGGAATGATCCTGTGGTCCCTGCTAGAGTACCTCATCCATCGCTTTGTCTTCCACATGAAGCCACCCGCTAGTAATTACTATCTCATCACCCTGCATTTCTTGCTGCATGGGCAGCATCACAAGGTGAGTCACAGCCCCCGCCGGCACCCTGGGCCGTGGGAATGGTGGCCTTTGCCCCGCTGGACCCTGTTACTGTGTGGCCTTTGCCCAGAGCCTGTTCATGCCTGTTCAGTTGGCATCCCAAGCGAGGCACTTACCCAATACCAGCAAGGGCTGTAAAACGGCCTTGGAGGAGCTGGAATTAAATCTTCAAGCTCTGTGGTTGGGCAAGGCCAAAAGAGCCACAGGCTCCCTCTAGCTTTGCTGAAGGAAATGTCCCTGTGGAGCTTGGGCACCTGCCAGATAAAGCCACCAAGGTGCCTGGGCACCTTGGCATGCACGAGGGGCTGCTCTCACCAGCGGGTACAGCTCTGGGGAGGGTTTCTGCAGTTGGCTTCTCCCAGATGGTTTTCCCTGATGCTTGGCAGGGATGTGCGAGGTAGGATGAGCTAGGAGCTGCCTGTCCCACTGTCCCTCTCTGCTTCCAGTCTCCCTTCGACAGCTCCCGCCTGGTCTTCCCTCCCGTGCCAGCCTCGCTGGTGATCGGCTTCTTCTACGGCGTCCTGCGGCTCCTGCTGCCCGAGGTGCTGGGGCTCTCGGTGTTCGTCGGGGGCCTCTGCGGCTACGTCATCTACGACATGATGCACTATTACCTCCACTATGGCTCACCCAAAAAGGGCACCTACCTGTATGGCCTGAAGGCTTATCACGTCAAGCACCACTTTGAGCACCAAAAATCAGGTAGCACCGTGTTCCCCGTGCATGCTGGCAGGGGCGAGGGCTGTCAAAGATCCAGTCTACCTACATGTGTGCAGCTGATTGCTCCAAAATGTTTGGGATCTGGGATGAGGAGAGCCAAGCATTGCACTGCTGAGGAAGCAGCATGTGAGGTGCTGTAGCCCACGGAGAATATTTCCTGGCTCCCAGGTTGAGGATAGGGAGCCAGAGCAGTGCAGGGGTGAAGGCAGCAGCCCATCTCACTGGTGGGCATCAGTGCTGCCTGGAATGCCAGGACAGAGGCCAAACCCCCATGGTGCCGGGATGTGGGTGACTATCCCTGCCTGGGGCAGCATCTCTTCCTGCTGGGAGGTGTTGACTGGTGTAGGGTGAGGCCCTGGGCTTCCCCAGATCCGCCCCACACTTTCCCTAGCCCAGTGCTTGCTCAACCTGCCCTTTGCCCAGTTTCCTAGGAGAAAACGCCCCATCCAGATAAGCTATCATCCATGGGGCTTATTGGCATGGCCCAGCCAGCTCCTGCTCCCTCTGCTCTTCCTCCTTGTCTTCATTTTGCCTTCCTCCCTTCCTAAAATGTGGACACTCCTCCCTCACCAATTAACACAGAGCCTTTGCAACACCTCGATGATGGTGGTGCCATGGGCTGAACTCTCTCTTCCCTGCCCACAGGTTTTGGCATCAGCACACGCTTCTGGGATTATCCTTTCCGGACACTCATCCCTGAGGAGACCTTCAAGAAAGAGGACTGACAGCCCCAGCCCAGTGCTCAGCTGCTGGCTCCATACCCCCTGCACTGGGGCTGGTGTCCCTCCCCAGCCCCCAGCGAGGCCCTGCCCCTTCCTGGGGGCTGTGCCACTGGCAAGGGGATGGGGGGCTGAGGATGGTGAGGAAAAGGGAGGAGGAGGCTGTGGGGTTCCCTGGTGGACTGCTGCCCCCACCTCGCTGCCCTCCCACTCCAGGCTATGGATGCACGGGCAGATCTGCTGCCTGAAAGATGAAGTGCCTGATGCCACCCTCCCTCCTCTGCCCTGGCACCTTGCTGGAGCCCCTGTCTCTCCTGGGGCGCCTCTCCCCCGGCACCCAACATGCTGCAGTTACCCCTATTGCCTAACTCATGCCAAGGGGATTCCCTGTCCTAGGTCCTTCTCCCGGCCCGATCTCAGCACAGGGTTTTCTTGGCCTGCAGCCCTTTTGGGATGGCTCCCACAGCTCTGGATTGTGCCTTTTTCTAACCGTGCACCCATATCTCTCTGCCAGATTTATCAAGTTCATGGTTTTCATAGACATTGGCTACTTGAAACTCGAACTCCAATGAAAACAATTACTATGAGATGCCTTTTTTGCTGATCCTGTGATTTTATTTTTTATTACTTTTTCCCTAATGTTTACTGCAGATATTTAAAGGTTTGAAATAAATTTATATGTAAAACTGTAGACACTACAATTGTAAATAAACTGTATATTTTGAAAAATAAAACTTTCTAAAAAGGGTCTGGGAAATGTATCCCTCAGGGCTGCTCACAAGTCTGCTCTCCCACCCTTCGTGTGTCCCTTTCCAGGTGCTGATGGCCCTTGGAGCCACCGTTCCTGGCTCCCCTCATCAGCCATGGTGAGGTAGGAGATTTGCAGGGGATATTCTCAGCAAACCTATGTGATGCTGGGGCTATAGGTAAGCAGAAGCTGCCACTCACTTCTCTGAAGTTGGGCAATAGTGTCACATGCACCCCAGAGCTTCCCAAAATCAGCCTGGCCCTCTGACGAAGCCATCTGCAAAACTTCCTGCACTCCCAGCAGAGGTCAAGCCCTGTTTCCAACACTGGTGGCCACAGCCCACCTCCTTTGGTGCTGGGGGCTCCTGGGGCTCAGAAATGGGGAGAGGAGCAAGGCTGACTCTGGAGGGTCTCACTGCACATGCAGGAAGTTCAGCAGGAAGTTCACCACCTTGCTGTGCGTGTTCCAGTGCCCTGGGCAAACCTTCCCACAGCTGCCAGCACAGCAGAACGAGTGGCAGCGCTCAAAATAGCAGAACCATGAATACAGGGGTGCACAACTTCCCCAATCCCCTTTTTCCCACTGCACTTCCTGTGGGCAATTCCTTCTTCCATCAGGCAAAACCCAGCACTAGGACATAGAGCCCTTGGGAATACCCCGAGCAGCTTTCTGGGAACTGGGAGCTGTGCTGGCGTGGGAAGCTGGGTTGCACAACGTCCCTTCCGCTGTGACACCCTTTAAACCCGCGCTCATCCTGCCGTGCCCCTCCAGTCTGCGGAGGCAGCCGAGGTCAGCGAAGCAGGAGCAGGTAACAGAGGCTTTCTCCTGGCAAGCAGACGAGATCTTTCCTTGGGGGCTGTGCTGCAGAGCCTGAAGAGGACAGGAGAGTGGCTGCAGCTGGATTCTGGGTGCGTTTCCATCTCGTTTCCAGCCAGTAGAACCTGGCACCCCGTCTCTTGGCTATGTCAGAGGGGCTGCTGCTCATTTCCCTGCAACAGCAGTGGTTTTCTGTCCTTGCTACCTGCATGGGCTGAGGAATAGGCACCATCCTTGTGGGGATGCTGAGCACATAGAAAGAGCTTGATTTAAAATCAAAATCTTAAGTGCAGAACAGAGCTATGGGGAGAAAATGGGGAGCAGCTGGGGATGCTGGGACTGTGAAGATGTACAAACCTTTATTAGATGGGTGACTACAGAGAGAGAGAGACATTGGGTAGAAATGAAAATAGATCTTTACAGCCAAAGGTGTGGGCTCTGTTGGTGGGAACCCAGGGTGATATGGGGCTGGAGCCAGAAATGCTGCCGGGGGGATGCCCCTTAGGTCACTGATGTCCCGGCTCCTCTGGTGGAAGCTCTCTGGGATGGCTCACACTAAATTAATGTACATAAATCAAGCCAAAACATCTCTTGCTAATGCAGAGAAAGATGTGCTACTACCACTGCTACCGATGTCTCTGTGTGTGCCTGCTCCAGTCTGCAAAGCAGCTGGAGATGTGAGGGGCTGTGGGAGGACATGTGCCATATCAGGATGCTCCCTAGGGTGGAAGGCGTGGAAGAGCTGCATCTGACTGATCTCTGAGCAGCACCTGAGGCTTACCTGCAGCAGACACTACCAGCCCACATCCCCAGCAGCCAAGCCCTTTGGTGCAAGCATGGACATCGTGGAGAGGGTCCTCTCTGTGGCCCAGGCCATCCATGCCCAATTCGAGCAGGTGAAGTGCTGTAAGCACCAGTGCCAGCGCCTCGTGGAGCGCATCCAGATTCTGCTGGAGCCCGTGAGGATCCTTAGGGCTCAGCCACGACAGCACATCTCCCACCATGAAGAGGAACTGATGAAAAAGCTGCTCCGGGCACTGGAGGAAGCCCAGAAACTGGTGATGAAATACAGCCAAACCAGCTGGATCCAGAAGTTCCTGCGAGCCCGAAGTACTGGTGAGGAGTTTGTCTGGGTGAATGAAAGCCTGGAGGACATTGCCCAGGGGCTCTCGCTCCTGCTGCAGGCAGAGCAGAAGCAGGCTTTCCTGGAAGCTTTCCAGTCAAAGACATGTCGCAGGCAGGATGCTGAGGACCTGAAGGATGACAGAGCTTTCTTGGACCAGGTGCTTGCAAGTGAGTGCATTTAGCAAACCCTCCTTCCCTGCCACTGGTGGCTGGCACCTCTCTCCACCTGTTACCTAGCTCTGGCTTGATGGCCATAGCCATGAAGAGCCAAAGGGACATTTAAACCATGAAAAAAAATCACACAGTCATGCTTGTTCATCCAGTAGCTCAACCTCTGCTTGTTTCTCCCCCTAGGTACTGAGGAGCCCAAAGATGTGCTTGAGGAGATCTACATCGACAGGGACTGTATGGAGAGCAAGATGGACTGGATGAAAAGTGAGCTGAACAAAGTCATTCATGAGATGGAGCGTAAGTCAGTGTCACACCACCTGCACCCTGTGCACTGTATCTTTTCCCCCCAAGCCCTGCTTAATGTGTCCCTTGTTCCCTTCTGGCACATGGTGGGAGCAGGCTTGAAGAAGGTCAATGTTGGTAAAAGAGAAGACATCACTGAGATCAAGCGAGACCAACTCACTTTCCACAGGCACCTGCAGGACACAGAGAGCTACGACCTTTACGAGGGCGAGTACCTCAAGTACCCTGTTGCCATCAAAACCTTCAAGAGGCCACTGACCACTGACCCAGTGTGAGTTGTCCTGGGAACAAGTGTGGCCCCAGGAGGGTGGCACAGCACTATGCCATGCCTTGTTCCAGGGATCTCACCACGCTGTCCATTTCCACAGCAAGGTGAGAGACATCTTTGAGAAGGAGATTCAGACCCTGAAGAAGTTTGAGTCTCCAAACATCCTTCGCATGTACGGGATCTGCATTGAGGAGAACGGTAGGGGTGTCACATTAATGTCACCCTTTTCCTCCCCTCCCATCCCCAGTGCTAGCTGGTGGCACGTGCCTTGCTGTGGTCCCCTCTCAAGAGGTGGCACAAGGCAGGATGATTTTGCCTTGCAGATGGCAGCCCCTGCTTCTCCATCATCATGGAGTACTGTAAGCATGGGACACTGCGGGATGTGCTGAACAAGCAGCAGCACCTTTCCTGGGATATCCGCATTCGGATGGCCCTGGGAGCTGCCAGAGGCCTTTACAGGTGAGCACCTGTATAAATCAGTGAGTAATTTCACCTGGTGATCCAGGTGCAGCTTCCTGGTATCTCAGAGTAAGCCGTGGTATCCTGTCAGACAGATTCCCAGTGACACCACCTTGGGACACTGGGATGGGAGGGGTGTAGGGTAGGTAGTGGATTTGGATGCAGTAGCTCCCATCTACACTGGTCACTGTCCCCTACATCTGGCTTCAAGCCTGCAAAGGCCTGAAGGGGAGAAATCCCCTTCCCCAGATTTGGAAGTAGCCTGGAGCACGGCAGTTCTCCTTACAGGTCCTGCTCATCCACAAGGCTTGTTGCTTTGCCCACAGCAGCTCTTCCAGCACCTGCTGGAAAGGTTGGCTTGGCAGGGTTGATCCACCAAGACAGACAGAGAGCTGCTGGCTTCTCTGGTTGCATGTCAGTCACTGCCTCCATGGCAGGAGGGAGCACAGAGGTGGGCATGGGTCAGTCCATCATCATCATCATCATCATCACCATCATCATCACGTGTTGCCCTTGGTTCCATCCATCTGCAGGTTGCACCAGACAGGGGAGAAATCCCGACTCCACGGCTGCATCTGCAGCAGCAAGTTCCTGGTGGCTGGGGATTACTGTGTGAAGGTAAGCACCACACTTGGAGATGCTTTTGGGAGTTTTGAATGGTTTTGTGGATGTCTCCCTGCACCAACACTGAAGGGAACTGTGATGGTCCAGATAAAATTGGGTAGTGGCATCTCTCCTATGACTTTAGGCACTTAAACCTCCCTATCTTGGTCTTATCATCAACCAAGTGAGGGTTCCTAAGGCATCCAGCCTGGAATGAGCTGAAGCTGGGGTGATTCACCTGCCTTCACCTCTGGTTTTGCTTGCAGGAAGAGATTCGTGCTGGGCAGCACACACAGCTGCACACCAGCCTTTACTGCTCAGGGCATCTCGCTCTGTTTTCTCCATCTTGGGGCAGTCCCTAGCTGCACCACAGGTTTCCACTCCTCCTTTTCTCTCTCTCATTCTCTCAATCAGCTGTCAGGATTTGAGCTGTGTGAAACAGAATCATCCATCAAGAGGAAAGCCAAGAAGGACTGTAAACAAGTCTCTATGTTGGCCTACATTGCTCCAGAGAACCTGAAAGACATCAACTACCCTTACAAGAGGCCCTGTGAAATATACAGGTGTGTCTGCCCTCCCAGGAGATGCCTGTGAGCAGGCAGGTGTCTGGCAGAGTAGCTACTGAGCTATGGAAGGAGGCCAGGTTTAATTTGACACACAAGCAGACGCTTCCAGTTGGCACAGCCTAACAGTTCTCTCCAGTAAAAGGGAGGAATACACGGTGGAATTAATACTAACAATCTTGCTTGTCTCCTTCCAGCTTTGGGATCGTTCTGGCAGAGATTGCAACCTCCAAAATCCCATTTGAAGGTGAGACAGAAGTATCTGGTTCCCTACATAAAAGCCACATGACACAGTGTGGTTCCTGTCTGGCACTGGATGCTCCCTGCTCCTTCCTTGAGCATCCCATGCAGGTGCCAGTGGCAGTGCCTGACAGCTTCATAACTTCTCCTGAAACTACAATATAGTGAAGTATTGCTTGTAGTAAAGCAACCTGCTTAAACCACAAACATGCAAATAATTTTTGTTTCTATTGGATGTTTCTGGGCATTTAAGCGTGAACACATCTTGCTCTACTGAAGCCCAGCAGTGTCATGCCAAATACAGTGGGGTTCATTGCAGACAGAGTTTGGGTCACTTCCCTGCTGGCTTCTCCCTGCCAAAGGCTGCAGGCAGGCTCTTGGCATGGCTTTGCACTGGGTTCCTCCCCAGCACCCTCCTGTGGTAGCAGAGCTCCGTCCTGACACTCCTGTTTGCACTTGTTCTCTAGGCTGCACTCCTGAGGAGATCGTGGAGAAAATCTGCAGTCACCATTACTGGGACCCTCTTGGGGAAGATTGTCCTGAAGACCTGAGGAAAATCATTGAACAGTGCCAGGCCTTTGAGCCTTCCCAACGCCCTTCTGCCGAGGGTAAGTGTCCCAGACACCTCCTCCACAGGCCCTTTGCATCCTTCCATCAGCTACTTCAGCAGGCAGTTTGTCCCTTATTTCCCCTATGAATTTGCCTGGCTTTGTGTTTTGGGATCCTGCCTTGACCTTTCTTTGTATGCTAAAAAGTCCCCCAGTTCTGGACCTCACACATTAACATTTATTTACCCATGCCATGACAATAATCCCCAGGCTGTTTGTGCATTTGGTGTCATATAAAAGTAGCTTTTTCTATCAGACAAGTAGGGGTAGGAAGTAGGGATCTGTGAGTTATCCCTATTCAGGTCCTGCAGATCCCATAAGTTGGAGGAGCAGCCACAACACTCTGCAGGAACATCTCCTGCCTTGAGCTTTAAGCAGTAAATCCCAGTCTTGGGCATTGCTCTATGACAGGGAAGTTTTCACTGCCTCTGAAGCTGGTTTGTGTCTGATCAGATGAGTAACTGGTCTCCATCAGGAGATACAACAGCAACATCGGGAAATTATAGAGGAATATTTCTGGTGTGTTTGAAGTAACAGAGGTCACATACTTCCCTTGGCTCATCTGTCTAAGGGGAGAAAACTTCCTTCAATTTCATCCACTCCATCCTACAGGACCAGATCCATACAAGAGATGTGGGAAATGTGCCCAAGAAACCACTGAATGTCACATTTCCCACCAGTATGGCCCTGGCACAGGGACTAGCCCTGGCTGAAAAAAACCCGCCAAAATATCATTAGAGATGTTGACAAAGTCACATTGAGGAAACAGAATGGCTTTATTACCCTAATGTGATCATAATCCAACACCTACCACTGTGTGGTGCTGAGCTGGAAGGATGGTTTATTGCAGCTGTTCACAAGGGTGTTTCCATAAACACAGCTACTTCTGTTTGGGCTGTGCTGTCTGCTCAGGCCTGTCCCCTGCTAATTCCTGCCTGTTTGTGCTGGCCCAAGGAGTGTGACTCTGTGTCCCAGTTGTCATCAGTGAGGGAAAGCCATCTTCTCATCTGCTAAAAAAAAATCCAAACAAGCCTACCAGAAATCCTCTGTGTTCGTTAATGCCATCCTTGTGTTTTGCAGAGATTGTGGACTCGCTGGCTGACCTGGAGAAAAGCAGAAACCAAGGAAGTTAACTGTGGAAAGCGGGGCTGGGTGGCCAGAGGCAGCAAGCCCCGGGGTGCCCCTCGCCTCTTCCCTCACAGAGACTGATGGTTCAATGCTCCCGTGCTTGTTTCTCTGTGTGACACCTTCTCGCCAAGGGGCCCTGCCTGGGGAGAGAGGTGACCTGAAGAGAGGCTGCCAAGAAGCCTAGGGGGACCAGAGGGATGGAACATGGCTTCTTTTAGAGGAAAAACTGAGGGAGTTGAGCCTGTTCAGCCTCGAGAAGAGACTGACTGAGAGGGGATCCATCAGCGCCTCTGTTTGAAGAGAGACTTCAGAGGATGGACCAGGCTCTGCTGGGTGGCACCCAGCAATAGGACAAGAGCCAAGGGCAGAAAATGACACATAGGAAGTTCTAGTTGAATATGACAAAGAACTTTTTTCTGTGTGGGTGATCATACACTGGAACATTGCCCAGAGAAGGTGTGAAGTTTCCCTCACACGATATCCTCTGGCGATATTCCAGAGATATGTGGATGCAATCCTGTGAAACGTGCTCTAGGACAATCCTGCTTGAGCAGGGAGGTGGGAGCACATGACTGACCGTGGTGCCTTCCAACCGGAGCCATCCCGGGATTCTCCTCCGCCCCGGCCCTGCCCCGGCTGCCCTGGGGCCACCTCCGGCTCCCCGTGGGGTCCCCCCGGTTCCCCCCAGAGCCTTCCCGGTTCCGCTCGGCTCACCTCGCGGATCTCCCTGGTTTTCCCCTGTCCTCCCCAGCTGCTCCCGGCCTCCCTGCGGGCCCCGCCGCCGCCATGGCAGCGCCCCGCCCACTTCCCCCGGTTTGAACGCACTTGTCTTCCCGCTCTTTTCGCCACGCGGCGCTCGGCCAATGACAACCCGCTCCCCTGCTCTTGCCCCGCCCCCTATACCGTCAGAGGCCTCGTTGCCCAATCAGCCGGTCTTCACTGCGGCGCTTTGACCAATCAGAGCACGCTCTACCTCCCTGCCTCTCGTCCCGTTACTCTCAGTTGCGTTAACCGACGGACAGAGCGATTAGCCAATGAGAAGGCGTAAACGCTCTGCCTCGCCCAATGGCAGGCGGCGCGGGGTGTAGCAGCCAGCCAATAGGGCTGCGGGGGCGGGGCGGCGCGGCGCTCGAGCGGGCGGTTGGGCCCGGTGGAGGTGAGCGCGCGGCGGCGGGGCCGGGCGGGGGCTCGGGCTCGGGCTTGGGCAGGGTCCCGGGTTCGGTCCCGGCGCTGCTCCATCCCCGGGGCCCGGCCGAGCTCTCCAGCACAGCGGGTTTCCTCCGGGCGCTCGCACTGCCTGCGGCTGCCGGATGGGCGAAATCCCTGTCCCGTGCCCTTGTTATGGCGGGTTCGCCTTCAAAACACTCGAGCTCTGTGACAAAGGCGGCAGAGCATCCGCGCTTGCGGAGCGCGTGTTTCGCTTGGGCCGCGCCGGGGCAGTTTTGTCTTGGTGATTTCATGGTGAGGCAGGTGCGGCAGAGCCCTGCGGGTGCCCTCGCAAGGGGAAGCTGCTGCCCCAGCCCGGGGGCTGCCGGCCGGCCCGGCCCTCTGGGAGCGCCCGGAGTTCCTCTCTTGAGCCCGGGAAGGTTTGTGCAAACCCTCCATCTGCGGGCTCTTCCCGGGCTGGCTGAAGGGAGGCCTGACTTGATAATTCCTCGGGCCAGATTCCAAGATTTAATCGTGAAAATGGTATTATGAACGCTTTTATAAATCTCACAGTTAATGTAGGTAATGGAACGTGTTGCCCGGTGAGGTTGTGGATGTCCCAACCCTGGAAGTGCTCCAGGCCAGGCTGGATAAGGCCTGCTGGGAGGTGTCCCTGCCCTTGGCAGGGGCATTTGGGACTGTATCTTTAACCCTTAACATGATTCTATGCGGTGAAAATAAAGGGTTTATTACAGTTTTGGGTAGCAATTCTATCATGAACATGAACGTAGTACTAGAGCTGGAGTACTTCATCTGGCCATGCAGCTGTTCTGGTGGGAAATGGTAATGTCTATTTTTGGTCTGGCTTAGGCTGAATTGGTGATCAGGATAAGAATTATGAAATTGATAAGTTAGAATTTTTTAAAATATCTGTAAAAATACTTGAACCTTAGTACAACCTCTTTTATTAATTTTTGTATACATTTTCTAGCTACTTTTTATACACAACTAGCATTTGCTCTCTTTATGCAACCTTAGCTGTGTTAAGTTTTACCAGCTTGGTAGAACTGGTGTTTATACTTTGGACTTCTAAATAGTGCTAAAGATCTGCAATTCCCAAGGCTTTTCAAGTTTATTATTGCTAAGTACTTTTTGGAGAATGTGAATGATTTCCAGCTGCTCTCAGAATTTAATCCACACACCTCTTCCAATAAAGGACTTTTGAGTTTTTGGTGAATCTGTTCATTCAGTTACTGAGACAATCTTGAACTTTTTTGTGCTGTAAGAACAGTGTGACCAAAGTGCTCTTAATTTGGTGGCTGACAGCAGCATGAGAATTAATAATGCACAAACTGTTGTCTCTATTTTTCTTCAAACCCTAAGGTAGTACTCCTGTTTTGGAGGTAACCTGATATCCATATGCCAAAGATGTAGAAGGGCAGCCATCCTTAATATATATGCAGTTTTACTGAAAATTTCATGTTTATCCAGTCTTGGGCTAACTATGGATCCACAAATGCTGATGCTGCAGATAACTTGGTACCAGTAATGTCTCAGTCGCATGTTCTGCTGTCATGCCCTTTCTGGTTTTTTCTGGTGTTAGTAAATACCTGCAGGGCTGTTCAGTGCACTGTGGGTAAGGGTCACAGTGATCTGTTACAGTAAGGCAATTTTGTTTGAAAAAACTTGAATGTCGGTCGAGACCAGTGCAGCAAAGGACTGTGTCACAGAGCTTGTTCCTGGCTGAATCTGTGGGTGCTTGTGCAGTGCTGCTCAGCCAGGAGAGTCTCTTAGATATTTCCAACTGTTCCTCAAGATCCACATGAATTTACTTGGCAAGTAAATGATGGCAGCAAGAAAACATTAACTCTACATTCTCATCCAAGTGCTTATTTAAGTTGATTTTGCAATGTGCTGACTGCTGTCAAGCCAAAGACTTGGAGCCCAGGACTCTGGGAGGGTGCTCCCAACTCACATGTGTCTATTGACTTGTGGTTTAGCTCTGCTGCAAAGGACAAATTTTCTCTTGACTGAATTCTACAAACGTTTTTAGTCACTGAGTGCTGTACCTGGTTCTTGCTACCATCAGGCTACAAGTAGAGTACACTTAAAAGTAAATAGTTGTTTTCTTCAACTCCTTGCAGAAATGGCTCAAGAAGAGATGGAAGTTGATCTCCAACCAGTGGCTGGTTACTCAGTGGAGACCCTCCAGACACTCCCCCCGGAGCCCTCTGCTCACACAGCGCTCTCGTCCCACGTTCCTGTGCTCGGGGAAGGAGGAGGCAGCGCTGCAGCCCTTCCTGCTGAGGATGCTGTTGTCACAGCCAGTGCAGGTGCAGGGGAAGCACCTGCAGAGCCTGACCTGCAGACGGGTCCTGCCACGGCCCCCAGTGGGCAGCAGAGGCTACAAGGGACGTTGGATCAGTACCAACCACTGCCCGTGCCACAGCTCACACAGCACCCGCCAGTGAGGAGAGCTCGCAGGCAGCAGAGAATTGGTGGTTCCCAGAGGACAATCAGTGCCAGGTAAAGCAGAAACAAAATTGGGTCTGAACTGCCCCCTGATCAAGTCCAGCATCAGTTCAAAATGTCCTTGCTTCCTGGCTTTCAGAGCCCAGCTCAGGTGTGTGGCTAGGGCCAAATCCAGAGTACCTCACTTAGCTTTTAAGTTCAGTAATAGCACAGCGACTTCTGGTCTCTTCTGGCATGTTCTTTGCCCTTGTTAAGTGAACCCCTTGTTCCATATGTTGGCAGGGGTGATGTTGACTTCTGAGCCCTTCTACATTTTGAATTTTGCTTGCAGAGCTTCTGCTACTGCTGTTCCCTCCGCACAGCCAGATTCCTGTCTATGATTCCTGCTGATTCTCAACAGTTCCAGCCAACTTTTAGCTCAGTGGAGCTTGTGCTCTGGTTTTCATTTCACCTTTGGTTTGGGGTCTGCCTGATTACATTTGCTGGTGACAGTTGCTGCAGAAACTATCACAAACATACAAACTGATATTTTTCTGTAAGGCTTTGTTATTGTTTTGATTTGTTTTTTGTTTTGTTTTGTTTTTTTTTCTTTCAGACAAAACAAAATATCCTCTCTGTTTAATACCATTTGGATGGGATTAAAGGGGGGTGAGTGGGGATACTCTCCAGCCAGAAAGAAATCCAAATTTTTAGTTTATTTGTTTTTCTCTCATCATTCTAGCTTTTGTATGTGCCAAGGGTGAAATTATAATTAACTGAAGCATTGCTTTTATATACAGCAAGACCAAAAGCTCCTCTCCTCCCGCTGATTAAACACAACTGTATTGTTTGCCCTCAGATTGCCTGTGAAGGTCACTGTAGTTGTGAGGGCTGGAAGGCAACCCAAGAAACTGAAGGATAATTGAGATGATAGCTGAACTGGTGGCAGAAAAGGGGAGAATGTTTCTATCTAGGGTCAAAGTTCCAGTAGAAAAGAAGAGGGAAAGTAGAAAGACTAAGCACAAAGTAGATGGAATGAGGCTCTGATCCAAGTGGCATGCATTTCACAGTACCAGTTCCTCTAGGAACCAAGGCTGAGTTAGAGTTGGAGAGACAGCTTGGGAGTTTCCTTAGGCTTATTAGAGAATGATACTATGTTTTTCTCCTCTCCAACCCTACCATCCCCTTCTCCCACAAAAGAAGGCAATGTCGTTGTTGTAATGAGAAGATTTTCTTTGAAATAAGCAAAATGGGTTGTTGCTGATCCTGCTGATTGTTCACATGTGGTCTATCCTATGTGAGTGCCCCCCTACCGGAGAAGGCCTGACTGGATAACAGTGACACCTTCCTGCTGCAAAGCCTAGAAATTTTCCTGCAAACATTCATGGGGAAACAGGATGAGTCTTTAGCTTACCTGAAATAACTGTGGCTTTTGTTTCTTGTATTTCTGGACGCAGGGCAGCATTGGACCATTACTTTCAAGTCAGTAGGACCCAAGAGCCATCTGCAGGGCCAGTTCCACACCCGGAGTTCCCCACTATTGTGAGGGATACCCAGGCACAGCACCCAGTCGAGACAATAGAAGTGAGTGACTCTGACAGCAGCACTTCTGAAGAGGCGGAGGAAACAGTGGAGGCAGCAGCACCACTGTTACCATCAGCCCAGGAGACTCCTCCAGCAGCAGGCTCAGGAGGTTTGTGCTGTATTGGAGCTGTGTAGTGACTGATTTCAGACACTTTTCTCACTGTTTGAAAACTCAGCAGGGAAATCCTTTCGAGCTTCTCAACAGACGGTGCTCAGAGATCTTTGTGCCCACATCTGACAGGAGCAGGCTGCTGCCACACGGCTTCCTGGCAAGCAGCTCCTAAGAGCAGCAGCAGCAGCAATGGGTGATTGCTACCATAATGTTAAATACTATCTTTTTGTGTTTGCAGACTGCTACTTATTCTGAACATTTCCAGGATTATTTGTAACTTAAATTTAGAGATTATTGCTTGCCATGCTTCCACTCTCATATATTATTAAAGAGTGCTGTTGAAGACATCAAGTCACATCTTGGACATCGGAAAGTGCTTTCAGAGCAGGTTCTGCTTCAGTATTTTTTAATTATTTGAGATTTCAGCCTGCTTTAGTTTATTTTTCATTCCTGTGTGGCACTTAGCTGAGGAGATGGAGATGCTTTTTGTTTATCTTTCCTCATTTCTTTCTGTCTCACAATTTTTATCTAAACTCATGTTCACAGGCTGACATACACTTCGATGACATTTTTTGTGATGAACAAGCACAGTTTATGTAAGAGTGCCAAATAGTTAACTTGCTAGTCAAGATTATTGACGCCCAGAGAACACAAGAACAAGGATATTTTTTTACTTCCGTCTCTAAGGAATGATTGATTGATTCTCCGCCCTCATTTTGGTTTTGATTGGCCAGCCCACCTCATTACCTTTTTTCAGAGGGTATGTGTATGAGGGGTCTTTTGAACAGATCTATTCTGCTTGCTCTGGGCTAGTTTTACACATGACGGGAGCTCAAGCTGTTATGTGCTGTATATTATTGTGTGAACATATGCTCTCTGCTGGATTTTCTGGAATTCCCTTGTTGCTTATATAAGCCAGTGGCTCCTCTTACAGCCCAGAACCACAGAGGCTTTATTGACATTAGGCAAGGTCAGGTGATTCTTCCACTGGATGGAGAATATCTGCCTTGATTACTAATTCTGCTTTGATTCTTTTGTCAGGAGCCAGAGGGGAAGCAGTGATTTCTGCTCCTTTTTTACTGTGCTAGTGGTGGTGATCTCCACATAGCAATTCAGTGTGCCCATGCCTCAACAGATGGGCTGACAGAGGCCCACCACAAAAACATAGGGAGAATACCAGCAGAATTGGTAATTCAGACAATTACCAGCTGGAAAACTGCTGAAGTCAGAGTGAATGGACAGCCAGCATACGGGAAATGCTTTCTTGGCACATGAAATATGCATGCCTAGATCCCTTGGCAAAGCAACTTCTGCTATCGGTGTCTGTCTTTCTCAGGGCATAATGATGCAGGAATATAATCTTACATCAGCCTAACTATAGACCAGGTCTGTTTGTTTTGTGCAGGTCAGAAAATTCTGATAACAATTGCTGTCCTTAAAAGACCTCGCCTTTTTCACTGAAATTCTGTTGCTTTTCATAAAAGAAAACATAACATTATTCAGCACTACTGTTCATGTAGAAGGCCTTACACACAGGGCCTGTGTCCAGGGCACTGATATGAAACTGTGCTGTGTCACTACTTTACCTGTGTCCTGATGATTTCAGATCAAAGCAGGAAAACTCCTTTTCACCCCATTATGAATCAGGTTATTTAAGCAATGCTTTCTTTAGTTTCCAGTCAGGTCCAAGCAGAACCATCTCAAGCTTTGTCTCAAGCTTCTGCAGAACATGAAAATCATGAAGATGAACCTGAAGTCCAGCAAAAGCAAGTAAGGTCAACTAAATGCTTTTAGAGACAAATTATATACGATAAATGCTGCATTTTCTGAAACAATTGTGTTGTTTTTGTAATTTTTAATCCTAGACAACTCCATTAAAGAAACTGGAGTCATCAGTTCCTGTTGCACATCAGGATGAGGAGGAAGGAGATACCTGTGCGATCTGCTTTGAGCAGTGGACCAACGCTGGGGACCACCGCCTGTCTGCGCTGCGGTGTGGGCACCTCTTTGGCTACACCTGCATTGAGAGGTGGCTCAAGGGACAGGCAGGGAAGTGTCCTCAGGTAAAATGCCTGTTATGTGCACTGGAAAGCACTTAAAGCACTTACTATGTGTGCCTAACCTGTGCCTCAGATGTGTCACTGACCGTTATTTTGATGTTATTAGGCCTGTAACAACTAGCAGTACTTTAAAAGGTCGGTTATGACTTGGATCTTCTCCCTGAAGTAGAGCATTTGTGAATAGCAGATGAAAAGGTTTGAGAGTTCAAGTGCTCAACTTGGGAATAGTTTCAGAATGCCCCAGTTTGGTACTGGAGAGAACCACCTGGAATGGAAATAGCAGATGGATTCCTAGACGCAATTAACTAAGCATAAAGACGGTGTTATTGGACAGAAAATCTGTCTGAGAAATGTTTTGGAACCACAGAATGGTTAGGGTTGGAAAGGACCCTAAAGATCATCTAATTTGGTTTTCAGTTGATTAATCTTCTGTTTTGAGCTGCGTCTGCTTTTGCAGCCTTTAAGAGGACCGGGTTGTTTAGGAAGCTAGCAGAGAGCAAACTGAGAACCAGGTTACATCTTTTAATGTCCCTTTGCAAGTGGTAAATCAGCATTTGAAAGATTTCTTTCTATGGTTAATACTGATCTCCTTCAATGAGGTCTACACTTCTATGTGATGTTTCCATTCCTTACTCCTTTTTTCCATGAAGGAATGTTGACAAAAAATAGGTCAATGAGTACCTTGTAAATAGGATTCAGTTCTGGCACTTTCTGAGTCGGTGGCTGGAAGCCCGGGGTTTCTTTGGCTTTGTCATTTTGAGAGCTTCTGTATTCTTGCTTGACTTTGCAGGATTCCCTTCTCTCAACAAGAAACTTCCTCTTGATGTGTGCTGTGACTAAACCTAAAGAATCCCTGTTGCCATAGCAAAGGTCCAAAGTTGATTTTTCTTACCCCTGTCAATTCTGTGTAAGCTTTTCTTCCACACTTCAGGCCCAGACAGAATTCTGAGAGACCTGCCTGGCATATTTACTCTTTGGAATTTTGTGACTGCTTTCTTCTTGAACACTAACATCTCAAGGGTTGTTTGTTCTCTCTTTCTCTTCCAATGATACAAATACTAAAAACTTCCTGGGAGAACTTGCTCTGGAGAGAACCTTGAAGCTAAATCATCTTTCCTTCATTTTCTGTCACCCTCCTTTGCAACTGGGCGTTCTCTGGTTAAATGGCCTGGAGTTGCTGTGCATGGTCTGTATGCTAAGTGGCTTGAGTGTGAGTTACTGTGAAATTGCAGCATTCCTGATCCTGCCAGTGGCAGCTGCTGACTGCCAGGAAAACTGTCTTGGCCATTTACATCAGTTTTTACAAAGGGGGGAGGTTTTCTGCTCTGATACTATTGCTTGTGATATCTTTGCGCTGCTAAGTAATAGACAAGCCTGCATTTGAAGCACACACAGTAATTGAATGTTTAGCTGAGGTTACTCGATCTGAGTATTCACCTGCCTCTTTTCTCATCAACAAAGAATATTTGCAGAACAAACTTGGAAGAAATTATGGCATCTGCAAGTTCTAACTTGCCTTCTTTTTAAGGTGAATATAATGTACTAAATTATTGCAGCTAGATGGAGAAAATTATTGAAATATCTGACTCCCTGTGTGTCACTCAAGTCAGTGAGATGTTAGTGTTTCATACAACACTGGAACACCTATGGATTTGGGCCTGTACAATGTAATTCAAGGAATATAGTACAGAAATAAGAGTTTGGAGTATACTCAGGGGTTCCTAAATTCTTGTGTGTTGGCCAAGCAGCAAGTCTTGGTGTTTTCAGACCTGAGGCTGGGCTGGTGTTTTGTTCTAGATCTTCTTGTTTTCACTTCTTTGTCTGATTTGAGCTTTTTTGTCCCTGGAACTTACTTGATCATGCTGCTTTGCTGGTGCATTAGCAGAATGCATTTAGTGGGAGGCAAGGAGATGGCTTATTAAAGATGAAGTAGAATATGCAACTTTAGTTGTAGCCCTGCTTAGAGCTCTGGTGTCTGTATGAGGGAGCACATTACAAACATACTTGTGTTTGTGGCATTGTTTTCCAGTAGAAAGCCCCTCCTTTCAGAGCTAAATAAAACAATACCTAGGGACTCGTAGGGATGCATAATTTGGGTAGTTCAATGCCTGTAGATGAGCTGAGCTTGTGTTTGCTTTCAGTGCAATAAGAAGGCCAAGCGTTCCGACATCGTGGTCCTGTATGCCCGCACGCTGAAAGCGCTGGACACCAGTGAGCAGGAGCGCATGAGAAGGTACCTGGCACTGAGAGCTGCACTCTGCCTTCTGCTTCATGCTTTCATTTCCTGCACTGTCTGAAGCAATTTGTACAGTCCCTTGGGGTTTATCAGGAGTATAGCTACCTTAAAGAACCAAGGCCTTGCTGTGTTGCATATCTTAATTTTCTGTTGGAACAGAATTCTTGAGTTTGCATTTTGTGGCCCTGAAACAGCAAAAGCTGTCTTTTGCTATATCCTGAAATGTTATCATGGGACAACATGCAAAGTTGATGCTAAAAAGCTGTATATTGCTAATTCATCATTAGGTGGGAAAAGCAAGGCATAGTTAGGAATGCAAGGAGGGTGAATAGCTGACCTTTTCTGCCATCTTTTCTGTATGCATTAAACAGAGTAATACCTCATATGAATCACTTTCCATCTTGCTTAGTCAAACTCTTCATGTAGCTTTACTTGCAAAAGGTCAGCAAGCATTACTATGACTCCCACTTCCCGTTCCAACTTAAATGTAGACTTCGTATTGAAAAAGGGAAAAGCAGGTATGAAAATGGGGACTCATTTCTTTTCAGTAAGATGCTGTCACAGATACTATTCTGAAATGAAAAGGCTGCAGATATCTGAGTTCTTCTGAGTCTCATGTTGAATAGAATTTAATTGGGGTTTCTTCACATCTACAACTACACTAATGTTCTTTCAAGGCAGTCTTTCAACAGAAACCTCACTATCCTGGTAATTATAGATCAGAAATGATTGAGGAGTAACAGTCAGAAAGGAAAGAATCTCTTCTCTCCAGATTGCCACAGCCTGATGGTGTTTGAAGTGTACCTTTAGAAGGGTGATGCTTCTTTCACTGGATTAACACAGAAAAATTAATTATATGTATTATTTTTTTGAAAAGCATGGAAGACATTTCGGGGTGTAAATCTTGTTATCTCTCATGAAGGGGTAGTTGTCTGACTTCTGTTTGTGTCTCAGAACCTCACTGCAGCCGTTCCCCACATGCCCTGCCCCTCCTCTGCCTCCTGTTTTTGTTGTAGTCAGGGAGCAGTGATTGTCTGTGGGTACATGGAGCTGCTGGCAGTAGCTGCCTTTGGCACACAGCCATGAGTGGAGCAGAGATGTGTGTGTGCATGCATTAGTCTTGTTTGCACATAGTCTTAAATTAGGTATAAGATCATGGGGTTTGTTTGTCACATTCAAAAAACCTACCAGCCTTCAGGCTTTGAGTATGGACATAAAGAGTGTGTTTATGATTGTTAAATAGGCATTTCATCTGTTTCTTCTGCAGGAAAAAAAAAATCACATGAAAAAGCTATAAGGAAAAGACAGAATTCTGTGCTTTGGAGCATGCTAGGTTAGGTCTGTGCATTTGCAAAATACCTAGGCAAGCTAGAGCTCTTTGCACATGAATGACAGAAATAACTGGAATATTGCAGCTTTTGACATACAGAATGCAGTGGGCAACACAGACCAAGTGTAAAGCTAATTTTAAGGAGTGTTGGTGTTTCTTTCCCCACTTTAGCTATTCCTTCATGTAAGCCTATAAGAAAGAAATAAATTCAAGTAATTTATCCAAAGTGCTGTTGCTAAATAGTGTGTATGCACTTTTGGGCTCAAGGTGAGGTTGTAAGTGGGTCTTTTTTATGGGCATTCACAGGGAATTTATCTGTATCATTTTTTTCTGGTACAGATATATTTTCCTAAAATACAAGATTAGCTACTGGTAGTAGAGACAAGCTTGAAGATCTTGCTGTAATATAGTTATGCTATGATGTGCTGTGTTACTGACACAGTGTATTACATGGACATCGTGGTATAGGATTTGCTTAAGTGTTTCTGTAGGGGAAGGAAAATTGATTTCTCTTTCACTCTCCTCTACTAAATTAGTCCTTTTGGAGAGGATGAGGAGAAAGGCTGCTGGAACAATACTTGAAGTGAGTCATTCAGAACAATTGCATAACTGAATATCTCAAGGTGAATGTGTTGGGTTAGTGCAGTACCAGGTTTTCTGTGACTGTGGATTTGCCTGAACAGAACTTATGGTGGGATGAAGTCAGAGGGCAGGAGCTAACAGCCCAGAAAAGTATCCAAGATAATACCTAGTCCTGAGGTTTGCTTTCCTCTCCTTCCTCCAGCTCTTTAGAAAAGGAGCAAATATTGCGGAGACAGGCAGAGCTGGAATCTGCACAGAGCCGTCTCCAGCTCCAGGTTCTGACAGGTGAATGCAGAAAGCTCCGCAAGCAAGTTCAGGTGAGTCTCATGCCACAAATACACATAATGTTTCTTTCTCTTCAGCCTGCCTTTTCCATCTTCCCTTAGAGGTGAGAGGACAGAATTCCTGTTTTAGTAATCATCAAGGTTTAGTAAACTCAATTGGTGAATCATCCCAAGCTGGTAAAGACATCCTGGGCTGGAATTTTCATGTGTGCTATAAAAACTCTGGCTTTTTCTTGTGCTTTTAAGCCTTAGTTGAACTTGCAGCACAACACTAGAGTTGTTTGAATGCTGATGTTGCAGGTTTCCCCTCAGGTTTTGTGGTGCCTGGAAAAGCATGGTGATAAAGAACCAGACTTAGTCTCCTCATCTTGCTTGTACTTGCATCAAAATAAGCTTTGGAAATCTCTGTAGTAAACCTGCAATACAACCTACTATCACTAGTTAGTCAAGAGTCTTTGAGAAGCAGTTTGTGAAGAGGCATGGCTACTTGCAAAATCAAAAGAAAACAAAAAAACCTTAGGGGTTTGGGTATTTTTGAAGGTTAGTCAACATTTCAGTTTAACACCTTCTGGTGCCCTGGGCCCTGGCCTGTCAAACAGGGGAAGCTGTACATAGGCTGAGCAGCTGTGGAGAGGCACCTCTCTCAGAACACAAATTACTGACTATAAATGATGGGTTGTTGAATGACTGCTTCCTTCTGGCTTATGCAATACTGAGATATTTTGTAACTCATCCCAGCTTCTTTTACATAATTCCTATAGATTATGGACTCTGCCAATGCTTCAAACTGTGAAGGTTTTCCAGTGAAAACCTAGGTTTTCCAAGAGTCTGTTTCATTGCCAGTTTGCTACCTTTTGTTGAATGAGGCAGATAATATCCTCTCACTGTCTAGTAGCCTGCTTATTTTTAGGCTTTTTATTCCTGGAATCTTTTTTATAGCCTTGGCTATTCATATCTGTACATTAAACAACATCCTCTTAGCTGAAGTCTTCCTGTGTGACTTAAGATAAGGCTTTATAAATTTCCTACATTCCTGCATGAAACCATATGCTCATCATCACTAATAAGAAAATTGGTCCACTTCAAACTTTGGCTTAAGAAAAATGCCAATAAGATAAAATTGCAGGTCCATAATGTTTTCCTGTGATTCATTTGGTCTTAAATGATGGAGTATCCAGTCTAACGGAATTGAAGTCACATGTTATAAAGATTAGGTACCCTGTGTTCTTTAAGCTCTATTTCAGTATTTATACTGCATTCTTCATTGTACTATAGTGGTTAATGCAAATGCTGGAAGCAATTTTAAGGTGCTTGTTTATACTGTGAATAAACTTAAAGTAAAACAATATACTAGGGAGCAAAAAAGTCAGCAGGAAGTCCACAAAAGTCTTTAACTTGTTTGATTGCATTTTGAGCAGATGCCTAATGAGCTCCTTGTTTTATGAGAAGTCATATAGTAAAGCAACTACTTGCATAGAAATATTTAGATTGGGAGGTTTCTAGCCCAGCCCTGGTTGCTTGATTGCAGTGTAGGGTGGAATTGTTCCGGTTTTTTTGTTGCTAATGTTCTTGAACTGTGCCCAGCAGCAGTCATGGCACTAGTTATGTCATTTTTTTAGGTTTGTATGCATTTTTCTGTGCTCTTACCCTTCGAGAGTCTTGTCCATTATATTTTGTTATTGAAGCACGTAATGTTATTGAGACCATATCAGCTATTAGGGCTGTAACCTAATAACTCAAAACTGTTCTGAATTTATTGCAACTGGTGGTTTTCCTTTCCTATTCATTATGCTCCTCTGCTGCTTCTTCTCCTGTATGCTCCTCAGAAAGACTTTTGCTCCATAGCCCATTCTTTCCCCCCGGTGTGACTGTGTTCATTCATCACTGCAAAGGTGAGCTGAAATCTAGAGACAGTCATAGCATGTGCAGAGAGAGGAGTCTGCTCTCAAGGCCATTAGTTGACACCAGGCATCAAGAAAACTGCAAAGCATCTTAAAGGAAAGCATAGGCCTTTACATAATGAACAGAATGTTCTTTTGAGCACAATTAGTGGAATTTGTCTGCAGCACAGTGTTTTTAATCACCTTGCTAATGTGCCTTCAGTAAGACTTCCCGGTTCTGCTGGGTTTGTCCATTGTGTTTAAATGTAAACATTAATAATCCTTGTGATTTTAATTGCCTTGTTTCCTTTTTAATAACTTGTGTGAAAGTTGAATGTTGAGTGCAGGTGACAGGGAGAATTTTGTAAGGTCCCCAGAACAACAGATAATTTTAATCTCTTCTGATCCCCAGTGATGGTAATTTTCTCCCTTCACCTTTTAGAAATACTGAGTTTATTAAATTTTTGATTAAAAGTTACTTTCTTCTAAGTTAGTTGTGTTTTGACTGACTCCTTACTCTAAGCCTGAAGCTATAGCTTTCATCATAAGCATCCTGGCAACCCTCACACCCCTTCATCCTTGCCCAGGTTGTTTTGTCTTTTCTTGCTCTAATGGAATGATCTGGAGTCTCCAGCTTCCTGTTGTTTTGTTTTTTTTCCTTAAATTTTTATATTCCCGTGGGACATTTGCAATGTGCTTGATGCCAAAGAGATCAGACCTCTGTAAAGTATCAGAGCTGCTCTCCTCTTGAGCAGCTTCCAAAAAGTTATAGGTCTTCATAACTATTAATGTAGAGCTTGAACTTTGATCTTGCCTTTTTGAAAACTGCTACCTTTGCTTTGATGCAGGTTAAGTGGTGGTGGCTGGTTCAGTATTGAGGCTGACTTGCAATTACTGATATATTCATAATCTCATTCTTGTGACCCTTAATTGTTTAAAGATTACATAGTGTTTGAAGCAGAACCTGCATTGCTTAGACAACAGAAAGCAAGTAGCAATTTTCCTTCACTATACCTTCCCTCTTAAATATCCCTGAGATGCTGTATTGTCTGGTTTTGACCTTGGGTTACAAGATGGTCAAAATACTTTTTGGAAAGGGACACTTCTGGTTGACTCACAATATGCTGATGCCACTACCTTCATTCCCACCTCACTCCTGATCTCAACAGAAAAAGGAATTCAAGGAATACCTTGTTCTTCACAGAAGCTGTTCTTGGCCATGCCTTTGCTGAATATCCTTGAGCATTCATCAGTTGAGGTGGAGGAAAAGAGAGGGGAGGAGGTGATAGAAGACAGAGCTGGAGCTCTTGAGAGTTGTGTCGTTCCTGGAATTTGCTGCACAGGGTTTACAAGAACAGGGTCATTGTCATTAAATAGACTGACTTGTTTCCTGCAACGCCCTTTGTGTTGAATCTTGGGCTTTTATTTTTTTATGGGGTATTCTGGAAATTCTGGAAAATGGTTTTAATTGACTTTCTCTTGTGTTTAGGGACACATAATACTTGGCAGTTCATTCCCTTCTAAACAGCATTGATCTGGTAATTGTTACTGGCTTTTATGTGTTGCCCAAGAGTCCTCTCTTTCACAGAGCGTAATACATACAATATCAGACTTTGAATACATTTTGCCAGCATTTACACAGCATTTGAACGCTTTTGTTGCTCACTGTCATAGGCCATGGACTTAGAAATGTAGTACTTCAGGAATAGCATGGAAATGGGACTATATTTCCCGCTTTTATCTGAGAACAAGTACAGTTGGAGCACCTGAAGCAGACAGCACAGAAGGTTACAGTGCTGGTGATGCATTAAAGCTCTTTGGGTTTTTTCTTTGCAGGAGCTGAAGGCTCTGGTGGCCCAGTACAATGTGAGCACTTTGCAGCAGCCTGGCAGCTCCCACACCTGCCTCCCAAGCAGCCTCCCTTCCAGCCAAAGCCAGCGCAAGTACCACTTGGAAAAGGTTTTTTTGGTGTCTCAGACTGGCAACTGCAGAGTGATGGCATACTGTGACTCACTGAGTTGTCTTGTGGTATCACAGCCTTCTCCACAGTCTACCTTTATTCCTGGTAATTAAGCAAGTCAACATTTCAGGGCTCAGAAGTACAAGTTAATGTCATTTCTGCTTTGTCCCTGCTCCCTGTTTTGCTGCTTGGCCTTTGCATGTGCCTTGTAGCCTGAAAATACTTGTAAGACTCCCCATACTTCATCTGCCCCTGCATTGGTAGCTTCTACCTAGCAAAGGAGCTTGTTTCCCTGGCACTGCTATGGCAGAGTCCTAGCAGAGGGTCTCCAGCACTCCTGCTGGAATGCAAATTGTAGGTGGATTGATGTACATGCAGCTAATTTGTCAGTACTCTTAAAAAACAAAACAAACAAACAAACAAAAAAAAACAAAACCCAAAACAAAACAAAAAAACCTTGCCACCCAAAACTCCTTTTAGTATGAATGCCTGAAGCACTGTTCCCTAATGAGGAAATAGGAAGCCAAGAAGTCGTGGGCAGCCCTCGTTTTGTCTCACTGTTATGTCCAGGGGCCAGTGACCTGGCATCTGGACCAGTGCCAGTGGCTCTTTCAGTGTAGCATTAGGAGTCTGAGAGCACTTATTTGCAAAATGCTTTCTGACTGATGAAACTTACGTTATTTGTTTAATGGGTTTGAGGTTAATGTGCCTTATCTACGCTTAACAAAGTGGTTTTCCTCATTTAACTGGTCTTATTTTTCTGGCATTTGTAGCCAGGGACTGAATCTCTGAATGGAGGCTTTGTGGTGACTCTTGTAGTACACAGGTTAAGTTCACCTGTGACCATTCTTTGCTGTGATGCTTGTTCTCTTAAATAGCCATGTAATCCTGCTCTTTGTGGTTTTATCTGCCCAAGAGTGTCTTTGAAGAAGCCGGCTAAAAAGCAACAGGTCTTGTAACAAGAATTGCAACACTGGTACTGAATTTGCTCTTGCTTTCTGGGATCCTTAAGGATTTAGCTTTGTTGCCATTTGAATTAAAGAATGATTTGTGGCAGTTCTTACCCAAACAACAAATAATTTACATGTCCCACCACAGTCTTCAATACAGACTTTGTAGTTCTGGCATAGACAGTTCTATGCATATACTGCTTCTCAGTAATCTGCTTTACCCTTCTTCTGTGGCAGGCTATGGTGTTAAGATGATGAGCTTGGCCAACCTGAAGAGCAGTCAGTACATCCCCATCCACAGCAAACAGATTCGGGGCCTGGCCTTTGGCACTCGAGCTGATGGTTTGCTGCTCTCTGCTGCCCTGGACAACACTCTCAAACTCACCAGGTGAGCCCTGCTGCCTGTCCCTGCAGAGTTTAGCTGTGTGCAAGAGGTTAGGTTGGATTTTGTTCTGTCTTGCAGCACTTGCTATTCTGCTTTCTGAAAGATGCTGCAAAGATGAGATCAGGTCTGCATATTCTTTCTGCATGTGGGAGCTAACAGAAGGGAGAACTTACTGATGCTTTTGTGTCTGTAAGGTGGAGGTGTCATGGAGCTACCTCTCTCTGATTATTTTCCCGTGGAAAACAAGTAATTCAGCACGAATTAGCCAACTGTGTTGAGAATAAATAACATAATATATAGACATGACATTTACTGTCCACTTGGTTTTCTGTTACTGCAGGGAAATGTGAAGCATGAGAGCTTGTACAGCATGAAGCAGAAGTAAAGGAGTAGTTAGGCTGGGCTCCTCCTTCTCTGCACTGATGTTGACTTTACCAATTTTAAACTTCTTGCAGATCATAGAATTTATCTGGGATGTGAAATGCATAAACAGCATTGTTGAGCATGTGCTAAGAGGCTCTCTAGAGCTACCAGAGTCTTAAAGCAGCAGGTTGGAGATTAATTATGCAGAGACTGAGAGAAAAATGTGTCCAGTCCTGTTAGAATTTACAGTTTATGAGTGTGTTTTCTTGCTGCTCTGCTGCTCCTCGGTCTTAAAGTGCTTCAAAACTTTGTTGGTTCACTGATTCTTATTGAGTTATGTTAACATCTCTGTGCAATCTGTCTGTCAGTATTTGGTTAGGCAGGATAAGTGTCTGTTTTTTGACTAATTAGTCTCAATTCTTTCCCACAAGTGAAGCAATGAAGAGAACTTAATCCTGCAACAGAAATATACAGAATGTTTATTTCCCATAACCATGTTGAAATGTTTGCTAGACTAGTTAAAAGTAAATAAAACTGTCTCTGATGCTCAAGTCAAGGTGTCAGATTCCAAACTGATTAGGCTGATAATTCTTTTCATGGTTTAATCTGAAGAGTTAGCAAACACTGCAGCAAGGAACCAGACACTTCCATATCTGCTCACTGCCTGGTTGGCTGCATCAGAGCTTGTGATCCTCTTTTGTGCTTGATGCCAGAATGTCTTGGAGTTAGGTGTTGGCTTCAGCAGCACTTTCATACGTTTTTCAGTCTCCCTCTGAAAGAATAGTCCTCTTTGGCAATCTTTCTTCTCTAGTTACTAATTTCATAGTCATCCTCTCCAAAAGAATTATCCAAGATGCCTTTATGTCTCCTGCTCTGGCTTGCAGTTGTTTAAAATAGCACTGGGAGCTTGTTTGGTTTTGGGGGTTTTTTTTCATCCTGTTGTTTTGACCCAGTCACTGCTCTAGTATCAAACTCCCTGTTTCCCCAGCTAGATCTTAGTAGTTGTTCCCCTTACACTTAACTGGGAGCAATTACTTGTTTCTCTGGAGTCATGAGCATAATCACCTTCCCCAGGGAGAAGCACATGTGTTACAAAGGATGTCTGGAGTTACTTTGATATGTGCAGTCTTCTGTGCTGTTCTCAGGGTGCAAAAGCATGTTGACAATGCTGCCCTTTGCAAATGCATCCTGATCTGATACCAACTTCATCTGCTATTCTGGGCTGTGCCCCTCTGTGGACTCTCTTCTTCTTTAGAAACTTGATTTGTAGAAGGAATAATTAATACTGTAAATGTACTTTCAACTGTCCTTAGTCACTCACTGTCTCACTCTTGCTTAAACTGGATTCTTTTGAGGCATAAATACTGTTCCTCTTGTGTAAAAAAAGGGGAAATAATTAATGAGAGATGTAATGTGAAGAGATGAGCCCTGTGATCTCAGGAATATATGGTATTACAGGACTATACCAGCATTGCTTCTCCTAATTGTTTCCAGAAAAGTAACTTAGCTTTCTCTTGCCAGTAAGGCAGCTGAGACCCTGCTGTGAGATTTCCTCTCCCAGTCTCCAAAGATCAAACTGGAAAAAGAAGCATTGGCCTGGAAGAATTGTAAATCACTTGACAATATCCAAGGGATTATTCTGTTTGGGTTTTTAGATTCATGTCTGGAGTAAAGGAGGAGTTAATTGAGAATTTGGTCTAAAGAGAGATGCTTTTGTCTGAAGACTTTAAAGAGCTAGATTAGCTTACTTGTGTATTTTTCTCATCAGCAGATACTTGTGCAACTGGCCAACACTTTGCTTTTCTTCTGCAGCTTGGCAACAAACACTGTGGTGCAGACATACAATGCTGGCCGTCCTGTGTGGAGCTGCTGCTGGTGTCTTGATGATACAAACTATGTCTATGCTGGATTGGTCAATGGCTCTATCATGATATATGATCTGAGAGACACAAACTCTCATGTCCAAGAACTGGTTCCTCAGAAGTCAAGGTATGGCAGAAGGATTTATCATTCCTCTCAACTAATATGCATCAAGTTAAACACACCTTCTTCCATAAATCATGCAACAATTACAATAGTTTAAATTGTATTATGTGAATCTCTTGTTCAGACATTCACATTTAGCACAATCTCATAAGGTTGCATGGTGTTTTTATATGACTTATGCAGGTGCCAAGAACTTACGCTCCTTTTAAGGCACACAAGGGTCACAAGTAGACCCACTGGTGCAGTATAAATAGAAGAGCTGAATTTGTTTTGGAGCTGGGTTTAGTATTTAATTTTGAAAGGACAAATTACAAAGAGATATGAAATTCTGATGCTTCTGTTTCTTATGCTCTAGGAATCAAATGCTGATTTGCACTCATCTGATGTGTGCTGTCTGCTGGTCCTGTAAAACATAAGGCTCAGTAGTTAAGCTGGACTTAATTTATACTTGACACATCTACTGGCACTCCTTGCTTTAAGGACCATCTCACAGCCTGCTTAGACCCTTTCTTTGCCATAGAGTTGGAGAACTGGAGCTCTGCAGCAGCGAGCAGAACACCAGCAGAGCTGCAGCCGACAGCACTGACTCTTGCCAATGACCCTTCCAGGTGCCCCATGGTGTCGCTGTCCTACCTGCCCCGGATGGCCTCAGCGTCGCTGCCTTATGGTGGGATATTGGCTGGGACCTTGGAAGGAGCCTGCTTTTGGGAACAGAAAGCTGGCAACTCCTACCAGCCTCATCACCTGCCCCTGGAACCCGGAGGTTGCATCGATCTCCAAACAGAGATCAACACGCGGCACTGCCTGGCAACGTACAGGCCTGGTACGTACTGGGATGTCTCTGTAGGCTCTGACCACTGCTTCTCACTGCTCGGGCTGAGCTCAGCAGCAGCTTTGGTGCTGTGGGTACAGCAGAAACACAGCACCTGCTCTTATTAGAGCAATGAGAATCTGCACATAGAGAAAAACTGGGGATAAGCAAAAAGAGGCAGCTGCAGGCTGGTGCTGCTTGTATTCCTACAGCTAAAGTCTATCTGTGAGTATGTTTTTCAAAAGTTACCTTTTTATTTCTACTACACAGGTAAAAATAACCCATGTATGCATTGTGTGATGATGGAACTGACTTGCAGCCCACTGACAGAAGGCTCAGAAGATGTGGTGTGTTCTTCTAACCCAGTTCAGACTTTCAGTGCTGGTCCCACTTGCAAGTTGCTGACCAAAAGTGCCATTTTTCAGAGCCCAGAGGATGATGGGAGTGTCTTTGTGTGTGCTGGTGATGAGGCATCCAATTCTGCTCTGGTATGTCTTGATCCTTTCAGTGTGGTGTAGGGGTTTATTGGAGTTCTTGGGAGAGAAGCCTTATCAGCCACAGCATCAGTGTGATTTGGTGGGAATTGTCATGCACATTACCATGTGTTAGTTGGTCTGTTGTACTGCTGTGGCAGATGTAACTTCCTGATAGCTTGGGACTTCCAGTCTTAGGCAAGGCTATGGTCTCCATCCATCAAAGGGCATGTAGGCAGTGGGCCCCTGCTGTCCCCCAGGGAAATGGGACTGGGCACAATGGCACAGCCTGGCCTTCTGAGTGGTGTAACAGACTCAGTAGGATAGTGTGGTAAGCACTGCAGAAGAAGGATGCAGGCTTTTTAGGAATGATGGGGAAAAGGACAAGGGTTGCCTTTTGTATGAAAATGCAGCCCAAATGCAGAAGATGGACAACAGGCTGCATGAGAGCTCATAAGTGGGATCAGAGAGGGTGGTCAGGGTGGCATTGTGCTGCAAGTCTTTTAAAAACTACCAAGCAAGGTGTGGAAGTAGAGAAAGGGTCCTATGAGTAAATTGAGGAAATCTTTTCTGGAGAGAGGAAGGTCTGTTCTGCATAGGAGGGGAGAGTTCTGCAGTTTTTGACCTTGTCTGTCCCTCCCACAGCTCTGGGATGCTGGAAGTGGTTCCTTGCTTCAGAGGCTGCCAGCTGACCTGCCTGTGCTGGATATCTGCCCCTTGGAAGTGAACCAAAGCCACCTCTTGGCTACTCTGACAGAGAAGATGGTGAAGATCTATAAATGGCAGTGAGCTGTTCCTATGTTTGCCACAGACTGTCCAAATAATGCTGCTGATAACCCTACACAACTGTTCAGTCCTGCACTTGCTGCTTACAGGAGACAGGGTCCATTACAGCACCTTTCTGGTGGGAAGGAACTGGGATATGCTGGTGCCCAGAGCAATTCCTTTCTTCTTCTGTATTCCTCTTTAGGCCTGCCCTTATTTCTTCTTCTGTCCTTTTTTTAGTCAAACTCCACAAGCTGCCTCAGCACAGCAATAGTTCCTGAAGTGTCTCCAGTGTGTTACTGCACTTTTTTTTTTCCACTGTGCATACAGCACAGGGAATTTCAAATCTCTGCTACTAATGAATAAAATAAGAGGAGCTTGAAGACCTGAGACTCTCACTGCACTTTCTTGTGGAAGCTTGCCATGACTACTGGGTGATGAAAAGGCATCTTGTAGCATTGCTGATACAGTGTGAAAGCAAGTTCACTGCACACTTCCAGTGGGAAGCACACTCCCAGTGTTCTGTTGAAGGTCTAGGGTCAGTTAGCAGTTATTCCCCAACAAGGATGGATCCTGTTTTGGGGCCATGGAGAGAACAGGCTTGAAAAATCTACAGAGAATCTTTTCCCTTCATAATTTTTTCCCATTAACATATAATTTGCACTGTAATTCCCTAATTCTCTGCCTTTCCCTTCTCTCTTTCCTGCTTTACCTGCAACAAACTTGGACAGTTTGGTTGTGGAAAATAAAAATAGTACTGGAGAAGTACAAGTAAAGAGGGAGATGATTCTTGTACTGCTGGCTGCTGCAGTCCAGTGTTCTTTCTTAAAGACAGGAATGTAGTAAAACAGCCAGTACATTGGAAAAGAATGCTGGCTGCTTCTGTTGTTTGGGGGTAAGGGAGCTGGATTTTTTCTGGTATGAGGAACCAGTGGAAGCTCAGTGATTACATCAGCTGGTTTTTACTGACCTTTTGTCTTCCTTAAAGGACAATTTACAGCTCCACAACTGGTGACAGGGAGCTTCCAGTTGTGTTTGTGTGAGTGTGTTGCAGCTACTGGTCTGTGTAAATGTGAGCCCGTGGGGTGGGATCACAGCCCGGGGATGTGTGGGCAGGTGCTCTCTTAGCACCTACTGTAAATACTCATCTCCAGGTCAGATCATGGAGGGGGACTTCAGTTCCATTTTATATGTAACAAAGTCAAACTTGTGAGGATGTTGGAAGCTGCAAGACAAGTTTCCTGTGCTGGAAGGTTATCCCTTGGCACATCTCTGTCTCTAGATGTGGTGAGCAGCAGCTGTCCCATTCAGATTGAGTGTGCCACCACTTCAGCTGCCAGGATAATTGTATTTGCTGAAGGCTGGGGCTTGCACAATGTGATCCTGTTTGTCTTAAATAGGACTGAGAAGATCTCAACTGTATATTTTTCTGTATAGTATTTTGTTCCTATATTTTTATACTGTAAAAATAAAGTGTTGTTTATTATCAAGTATAAGTGGTGCTGCTGTACTTTGAGGTCTCAGTGACATTCATTGGATGTCTTATGAACATTACCAAGAGTTCCTTTATGCAGGTGAGGTTTCTCTTACTTTGTATTATTTCCAGGTCACACTGAGCTTCAGGCTGAAATAATGAAGGCATTTAGTGAGTGATTCCTCACTGAACCATCCTGATCCAGCCAGGTGAGGGGAAAGAAAAGGGTTGAGCAAGGCTACACACATGGGACATCTTTTAAATGAAAATAACTCATTCATATGAGAATTTTTGGCATTTTAACAATGATCAGGAACCTAAGGGTTGGTAGAATGATATTGTGAAAAGGTCTCTGGTAACAGCTAAACCAGAAGGAGCAGGATGCTCTCTGCTATATTAGTACAATGAGCTTCTTGTTCTCAGCTATTTTGAGGCATCATTTATGTTCTGTCTACTCCAACACCATTTTACCACAAGAAATTTGGAAAGTTTCAAACATACAGAGGAAAAAGAATGAAAATGTTTTGGTTTTCTAGGTAGTTCTTTGGTTTTTGATTTTCTGGGTAACACTTGTTTTCTGCTTTATACCACCATACAGAAATAAGAGATACAAACTTAAATGCTATTAAAATTATGGAACATAACACTTTCACATTCTCAGTTTTCAAACCTGGAGTATCAGAAAATATTCAAAGGTATGTGAGGAAACCTTGTAACACTTTCCTACTCCCAAGTTTGCAGCAGGCTGCAGGGAAGCACACCTAACTGATGTACAGAAAGCCATCAGCATTGAGTGCTGATAAAAGGTCAAATGTGTTAATTAAATATTTGCTCATCTCTGTCTGGAGTCAAAGGGGCAGATTTGGGATGAAAGGATGAAAGAAATCAGTGTGTCTGCATTGTGCAGGGCAGCTGTCATGAGAGGCTGAGCTGTTTTGCTCGTGTTGCAGGCATGAAGCCACTGTGTGGCTATTTCTGCCTCTGTCTCTGGGAAGATTTTGTTATCATGGTGCAGGGTGGCCCCTTGGCAATTCCTGTAGTAAATCTGGTGTGAGGTGATAGGTAAAGCCAGGCAGTGCTGTGGTTCCTGCAGACAGGGCTTTGCTCTTAACTGCGCATGGGCATTTAAAAATATTTTTCTCCGGGCTATTGCAGGTTAGTACCTTTTTAAATTTTAGTTCCTGTGAAAGCAGGCCTGGGGGACAGTGCAGTGCTGGCCAGAGCTGGCTGCGGTGGCCGCTTGCTTGGCAACAATCCAGCCCCTGCTGCTCCCTGCAGAGGTATGTTGGAGGTGGCTGGAGTTGGACAGCTGTGCTTTTGGAGAAGAGCTGTCCTCCACATCTCCCTCTAAAAGGGATAATCTAGTGTTAAACTGGTGATCCATAGGGCAAGGAAGTAGCCAGCTCCAAGCCTCCACATCAAAGAACTTTGCTGCCATAGCACCTACCCTGGTGCTTTAGCTTTTGAAGAGACTGGTGAGATTTTGACAAATAGTCAAAAATGTTACAGATGAGAAAAGGTCATCTGCAAAGCATGAGCCTAGAAACAAGCACAGCTTGGTGTGTGCATGTGTGCACCAGGCAGGACAGGCCAGTGCTTTTCTCTGCTCTGTCTGTACCGGCTGCTTCCTGGAGGGCAAAAAAGGAGCTACTTTGTGTTCCAAATCAAATTGGATTAAACTCAGACAATATAGCAAGTGAAACAAGCAGCTTAAACTGAACTTTGTTACACTGAGGTAGCCAGAGCATCCCAGTGGGAGTTCATTTAGTTCTTTTCTATTTGTGAGGAGACGTGACAAGATTTTCTTCTTATGTACATTTTCAGATTTTCTACCAAGGCAGTAAATTCCTTAAAAGACTCGCCTCTCTGCTGGTTTTGAAAGGGAGAATATACGGGGAAAAAACAGTTCAGCTGTCTTGCAGAGTCACCTGGAAAATTGAGCAGAGTGGGTCACAATGCCTCAGCAACAGGACTGCCCTCAGCTGAGCTGCTCTTGTGCCCTGTGAGCACTCAGGCATGTTGATGTCAGCAGCCTCCCTCACTTATGATAACGATATTTATCATTGTTTATTTGCTTTTATGATAAAGATATTTAGACATACTGCTGAGGAGGCAGAAATGCCTCCTGCTGACATTACTTCTCTTTACTGAAGGAGGTGGCTGTGCTCAGATGGCAGCCAGAGCTGTGGGTGCCCTGGTGTTACAGAGCACTGCATTCTATGGGCCTGTGGGAAACTGTCCTGCGGTGCATCAGGCACAGTGGCACCAGCCAAGCGAGGGATGGGATTGTTCTGCTCTGCTGCAGCCTCAGCCTGAGTCCTGTGTGCAGCTTTGCTCACTGCAATATAAAAAAGCTATTAAGCTGTTAGAGAGTGTCCAAAGGAGGGTAAGGAACATGGTGAAGGGCCTTGAGGAAAAACCATATGAGGAGTGGTTGAGGTCACTTGGTCTGTTCAGCCTGGAGAAGACTGGGGGGAAAACCTCACTGCAGTTGCAACTTCCTCATCAGGGGAACAGAAGGGGCACTGATCTCTACTAACTGCGGTGACCAGTGACAGGACCCATGTGAATGGCCTGAAGTTCTTTTGGGAGAGGTTTAGATTGGATGGCAGGAAGATTCTTCACCCAGATAGTGATTGGGCACTGGAACAGGCTGCCCAAGAAAGTGGTTCCATCACCAACAGTGGCAGAGTTCAAGAAGCATTTGGCAATGGTCTCGGGCACATAGTGTGCTCTAGGGGATGGTCCTGTGTAGGCCTCAGACTTGAACTTGATGATTCTTGTGGGTCACTTCCAACTCAGCATATTCTGTGAAAATAGTGCCTCTAAGTGCAAAAGAAAAAGGAATTTGGGAACCTATGTCCTAGAAGGCTTATCCTTGAGACAAACTTTACAGGTAACACGCTCTCTCCAGCATGTGCTGGTCAAGAGTAAAGAAATGTCTCAAACTAATTTCAGTAATTATCCCACCCTGTGAAGCGTAATTAATTTGAGGGTCCAGGGGCTTTAGTTTTGCATCAAGTCCAATTTGGTACTTCTACTAGTGGTAGAGATCACAGAACAGGGAGTGAGTCCCTTTTGCTTCTGATGGTGTCAAGCTGGCAGCAGCACTGAGTGCCTGGGAAAGCATAAGTGGAATTGGGAAAGAACTGTGGCAGATTGGAGGAGGGCTGGAAAATTGCCCATATCTTTTTTTGCTAATGGTAGGTGCTAACTGCAAGACAGATCCACATCAGTATTGGGGGCAACAGTCTCTGCAGTTTTGGCCTGGGGCTTCTGATGGTTTGTGAGGCAAAGATGTGTCAAAAGCATCACTCTCTGGGGAAAAACAGGTCATATTAGGCCAAAACTTTGTGCCTGAGAGGCACAAAACTCCCCTTGCACTCAACACTCACAGGGTTGTAGCTGAAATATTGTCTCCTCTTTGTCCACAGCTTCCTTGGAAGGTGAGTATTTCCATAGTCTTCTGCTTATTTCCAAGTGTGGATGAGCAGCAGAACTGTAGGTCTCTGACCTACAAGAAAACCTGAAACAGTGAGGCTGAACCTGTGTATGTCACACAAATAAACAATGAAATACCAGACTAGGGTTGTTGCCTTAGCCAGTAATGAATAGTACTGAATGTCAGCTCACCTTGGCTCTCTGCAGCAGATTTGTTGGTGGAAAGGATTGACCACTGGGAAAGGCAGTGCTGAAGTTTTAGGGATGCAGAGCTATGGAGGGAGGCAGCTGAGCCAGGCTGCACAAAAGGGAGAGGGCCTCAGGGCACTGTGTGGAGGCTAAGCTGGAATTCCAAACTGACATATAGGAGCAAGCAGTCTGTATCCAATTAAAAATTTGAGCAGCTCCTTTGCATGGACTGAGAAAGAACTTTTGTTGTCTCTGAAGTGGTGATCTGGAGAGCAAGGACACTCCTGGGAAGGAACAAGAGGTGTCCCAGCAGCTCAGCTCACTCTGGCCTTGCTGTGCAAAGCTGGGGGCCATATAAATGGGGTTTATTATTTAAGGTGATGAGACTGAAAAGTGCTGTCCACTCCAAAAGCAGGGGACTGCAAGCTCATAATGCAACACCCAGAGCATGAAAGCCTTGCTGCTAAAATGCTTAAAATGAGGCAAAAAGGGAATTTCTGCTAAAGGAGAGGGGCTGTAGTTGCAAGGAGCTGCTAGCTGGTTATCACACAGGCAGAGATGTTGCTGTCCCCAAAGAAAAACCTCCTCCTTGTTTAACTCACTGTGTGGACATGGTAAGCATAGGGCTCTCTTATGAAATGCCTGTTTAACAGTGATCAACACAGGATTAGTAAAATCTTAGTAAATCCTTAGTA